AGACAGTTTCGAGGGTCATAGAATTCTGCCGGGAATACCGACTGCCGCTTGTCCTAGCCTGCATCAACGACGAGTAAGCCTTTGACGGCGTCGAAACCAACGCCATTCTGTCTGCGCTAGTCGATCAAGGAGTGGACCCAGCTTACGTGAGGACGCTAGCCGACTGCTACAAGGACTGTACAACAACGATGCAGCTATTCCATCCCCCTGACCATTCCAATTGGGAAGGGGTTCCGACAAGGCGACACAATCTCGCCGAAGCTGTTCACCGCGGCCTTGCAGTGGGTGATGAAGTCACTGGACTGGGACGAGAGAGGCATACGAGTTGATGGGAGATTCCTCTCGAACCTTCGTTTTGCGGACGGCATCGTTCTCTTCTCGAGCAGTATCACTGAAGCAGAGGCGATGCTGGAGGAACTAAACGAAGTAGAGAAGAAGATCGGATTGCGAATAAACGGAAGAAGACGTAGTTCATGAGGAACGCCCTTTGCGAAGATGTAGAAATGGAAGGAAGGCACCCCTGTCATGGAGGCGTCTTCTTACGTGTATCTCGGACGTTCGATGAACATGGAGAACGACTTGATGGAAGAACTTAACAGGAGAAGAAGAGCAGCCTGGGCCGCCTTCGGGCCTCTGAAGGAAGCCACTGACCAACTGACAGACCCGAAGCTTCGTGCCCACCTGTTCGACTCGACCGTTCTCCCGGCGCTCTGTTACGCAGCGGAGACTTGGCCCGACATTATAGCCACTTCGAAAGCTCTACGGACCACCCACAGAGCGTTTGAGCGCAGTCTTTTGAAGATGAGCCGACACAAGCAACACCTTGTCGGACTTGCAGTGCGGATCTAAGAGGAATGTCGTCTTCGTCACCCAGCGGATTACGTTGCGAAAGCGAAACATCGATGGGCCAGTCACACTATGAGAAGAACAGAATACAGATGGACACTAAGAATATCGGAGTGGATTCCTCGCGAAGCAAAACGTCTCAGAGGAACACCTTCAACGAGATGGGCAGACGTGTTCGTGGAACGGATGGATCAGCCGAGAAATCAGCCAAAACGACTTTCGCCCCTGGAACTCGTGGACGCAGCCACAGATGACAGCCAAGAAGATCGTGGATGTCCGAAGCGAGGGACAGGAAACAATGGAAACTTCTGTACTGGGGCCCGCATGTCACGTGAGGACGGGCCATCTAAGTATCTAGGTATCTAAGTTACGCTCCGAAAAAACGTCACGGTGTTCTAAACAAACACCAACCTATAGATTGATGCATAATTCTTGCAACAAAATTTTTTAAAATTTTCTTACTTTCTCCAGCTTCAAAGAAATCTTGTGATTTGCTAGAATAGAAAGAGTAAATCTTGTGCTTTAAAAACGTTTTGAACTATAATTCCTTGAGGGCATATGGCAGCGATATAAGCTGATTAAGAAAAAATGATTTTTCGTTTTTTGGTTGCTGAAACTGCTAAAACGTCTAAAATTCAGACCTATTTTTGTTCTTGGTTTATGACCTATCTTTTTGATTGGGAGAAGTTGGCGGTGATTGGATGTCTCTAGGGATAGTTTTCAATTTGGATTTTTCAAATCAGCTTGTAGATTTTGTTCGATAGTTTTCTGAAATATTCTATAAAATACTACTTCTGATCTTTATAGGAAAGAGCATATTGTGTAAGATGATTAGGTCGTTTGAGCATTTTCAAAGTAAATTTTTTGATTTTTTTGGTGCAAGAATTGTGCATCAACCTGTTAATTTGCTGAAGCTGATACAGTAGAAACTATAGTCTCAAAAAAAAAACCAAAACGCTCAGAACGGGCTCAGAAATCAAAACTGTCTCATGACTGATGAGACAAAACGAAACATAAAATGATGAGGTTTTTTATATTTTACATCTCAAGTCTCAGAGTCGAGATATTGGATTGAAGTAGGTAAGCGCCTATGCAAAGTTTCAAGCCTTTGAAATGTCTTTTTGAAGTTCCCTTTTCCGTGATGATCACCTTGTCGAATTTCTTCTCCATTCATATCTCCTTTATTAAGTTGGTAGAGTAATTCTTTAGTCTTTACTGTAAGCAACTCACGTGCTTTTTAAGTTGACTATCATAGCAAAACGTCCTCAAGGAAGACCTTCAGCTCAGACAGTCGATCGGATATCTCTGGCGGGCAAAATGGGGGCCGCCGGGGTCTCCTTGGCGGTGGTTCGCCACCCGTTCTCCGGAGCCCTCCCATTTTGCGTTCCGGATGTCTCCCAAAGGCATACTGTACCGCTCCGGAAGTTTGAAAAGCTGTTTGCTTCGGAACTTTCCCCTCGATTGTAGCGGAATGACTTAATCGCGTACTGTAGGCGTAGACCCCGTGTGAAAAAATGTATCCTGCGGACTTGCTTTCACTTGAATGAAGGTGCTATTGGCGAATTAACGGCCTTTTCTTGTGTGCAATGATCAAGCCGTTACAAGCGATTCCTTACGCTGCGCATTTCGATTCATGGCCACTTACCCTTATTGCGCAATTCGTTATTCACTCAACCTGCTTAAAGGTAAGGGCAAATTATGACCAGCAACTATTTAGTCGTTGCTTGTTAGTCACCCTGCTCACATAAAAAGACATACATTATATTTTGTGAGCAGACCTTCCTTTCTAAATAACCGCTTGAAATTTTTGGTACGTCGGCCAGAATTCTCTTTGTCGAAAGTCTCTATAAAATAGAAAAGTCTAGGCTATCACATCCAAAAATTCAGTCAGACTATCCTTATCTGATATTTGAGTCTAGGCTACTAACCTTGAAAAAGGTCAGGCCATCTTTACCTGGCATCGACTATGCCTTTGTCAGATTCTCTAAGAACCGAATATCACGCTGCTACACTTGGCAATTGTCTCACTTTATAGCTGCAGATATATGTATATAACATCAATAAGCACACACTAATCAACAGCGCACTCACGCTGAAATAAATAGTGAAGGGGGGATGCTCAATCAAAGTAAGCAGCGAGTTGCAAAGCTACCACAAAAGCGCTCTTGCTGAAATAAGTAAGCAAACGAAGGATGGCGTTTTTCTTCCACAAAATACCAATAATAGTGCTCGACATGGGGACACTGCTTGATAAGAGGACCATTTTGAAGAGGTTTCACCATGCGGAAATGAACCAAACAGATCGACTAACTGAATAATGTTGTAAATTCAATTAGCGGAGGGATAAAGCTCATAAAACCGCGCAGAGATTTTAGTTTCGATGACCTCAAAAGAAAGGCAATAAAACTCGTGGGTGAAGTTGAAAAAATCAAAAAAGCTTAGATCATTGAAAAATCGCTGCAGTTGACATGATGTACGTGCTGGAAGCACAACTGAAAAGCTTAAAAGAGAAGAGAATACTATTTAGATAGGCCAGTTAACACTGAAACGGTGTGAATACCTAGGGAAATAGCAGTAAAAGTTATAAGGAGCGGAGGGAAAAGAAAACTTTCCCTCAGTGCAACCGAAGGTCTGTTCAAAGACATGTCAGTAAATAATGTCACAGATTCAAAAGACTTAATATTTGGACTTGAAGCCAAAGCAACCTAAGGTGCTGATGTTGAAGGCGATGAAGAGGAGCTCCCAGAATTTTGAGCTTCTTACATCTTGATGCTGAAAACAGCCCAAAATTCTGGGAACTCCTCTACCAAAACTCGGGGCAGTTGGAAACGGTCAAGCTGGATATCATTTTTGGGGATAAGCAAACAGGACATACAGCTTTTTAGTGAGGTCTGGAATAATGATCTCGTAATGCGTCAATTTGGCACATGTTTTAGAAGATTTCTCAAGTCGTATTGACCAGCTAACAGCCGCAGTCAGCTTCAACAAAGCAGTGCAAGATGGAAGGGTTGACGCAGGGTTCTGCCACAGTATTCTGATTACATCGTTAACTTTCAGCCGTCTGATATTGTTCACAAAGGGTGGTTAAAGTAAAAATCTGGTGAACAAGTTCGTAATTCTTCCATTTTTATCGCAATTATTTGACCCATTATTGTCTCAGTATCGTGTGAGTGAAGCTGGCGTTTGTAAAATTTTGGGTAATCCCGGCATAGGGTTCGGCACAGCTTGGACCGGGTCAAGCTAGATATCGTTTCTGGGGTAAAACAGAGGTCGGAGAAGGGCATGTAACAGGTATGTTCTACCACAAGCAAACAAAAGCGTTTGTTACACCAGACTTGGTGTGCGTATACGCTTAAAAGCACTCGAACTATGGCTCAAATATAAAAACTTACGTGAATGAAAGGTGATGAACTTTTTGCCGATATGGAATTCAACGGATTTTATCTGCGCCGGAACCGTCCCTTCGCTTACATGATTTTTCATTTTTGCACTTATTGTACCTTCACCATGAAAGTTTTTATGCGAGCAAGAAACTGTTTCATATTGTTCACTTTGAAGTTTTTTATAGCCCTCAAATAATTTTCCTTGACTATTATTCCTTGCATCTGTTATCATTCACAGGGGAGGTGAAGGGGGAGATGGCTAAAGTGGGAAGAGGAGAGGAAAAGAGGGAACTGAGTGAGGAGATATGGAGGGTAGGAGATAAGTGCTAGATCGGTAGGTTCAGGCTTCGACCATGGAGCAAAACGCGTCTGGTATGTGATGCGGAAAGTAAAAAAGTAAACGTTTCTAACTTTTTTGTCTGTATAGTAGTAAAAGAGGGGTTTTTAACCTTACACTTTCTTCTGGAATGAGCGACAGCAATTAAAGTGAGAAGTAGAGGGGAGGGGGGTAGAGGTCAAAGAAGACTATGTAAGAATTTCTCAAAACCAAAGAAGCTTTGTTTCAAGATTTTTCTGATTCCAGCTGGTGAAGATTGCCCGATAGCTTTGATTTGAAGACCAACTCTACTGTACTTCATCGTGTTGATGAATTATGGGATTCTATAGCAACTCTGAATTCACTGTTGTACTCAACCGTTATACGAATCGTTTGGAGATGAAACACTGCAGGAAAAGTTTATTTTTCGCTCGATCTGGTACAGTAGTGCACGCTTAAGCTTTAACGGATACTGCATCTGAAAATTCGAGATAATCGTGGAAGCGAGATATGATCGCCTCGACCACTAACCCAGTTTTGCTGGCTTCATAGGTTCTGGCAAGTTCTTCGGGCCAAAAGACTTCTTCTTGAAAAATTTTCTCTCTTTTTTTCCCTTTTGCCATCCGCGATTGAGTTTCCTGTCTCGACGGAAACCGAGAGATCCCATCTTTCTTTTGTGACCATTTCTTTTTCCACGTTTATGTTTCGGAACAACTTGCTTAAAGATGACCTTCAGAACCTTGTAAACCTGGAAAGATATGGATCACTTAGATTTTTGGACTCGCGACACACTCACCTTTGGATTCTCCTCTTTCAGCTTGCGGAGCGCTTCAAGTTTTTCCTTGCGACTCAGTGCCTTGTTGTCCAGGATTGCAGACTGCTTATCCAAAGCGCCGTTCAGTTGTTCGATGAGCTTAGACATTTTTTCCCTCACTTCCTTTTTTACTTGCTCTCTTCTCTTCTCGAGTTTCGCCTGGAATTCCATTGAAATAATGAGCTTAAAGAATTCCAGCCTTCGATCAAAGCTTGCCTTTTCCTCCTCACTGAGATTGTCAATTCCTTTGACTGGAACAGCCTCCGGCTGAAACATACATTAGTCTCTTAATAAAAAAGGAGGATCAGCATCTGTACTTGCCTTTTTGACCTCGGGAAGAGCCTGAGGAGGCTGAGGAGAGGGTTCCTCGCAAAGTACGAAACCGAGTAGAGCGACAAACACGAGAATGGTGTTCATTCTAAAAGTTATTTATTCATAAGACAACAAAATACTACAAATGATATGTATATGAGAGGATTGCGAAAGAAGCTGATGGTATGTGCGATTAGCACCGGGCTTATATGGGTCTTCCAGATCCAGACCCTCACATTTTTTCAATACCGATGAAAATAATTGTGAGAAAATGAGCCATCAACTACAGACGAAGACAGTTTTGATGCTCGAAATGCTTGGTTTATCCGACGTACGTCGTGAAATACGCCTGGTTTTCTAAAAAAAAATTCGAGTTTATAGCTGTGTTTCCCATTGACTGTAATTTATTCCTGTAATTCCATAGCAAAGCTATCGTTGGAAATTGCAGAATTTCGTGACCAAAAAATGATATGTGGTATCTGGTGTTGATCCTAAAAAGCAGGGGTGGGGTCGGGGCATACTGCATATTCCACGGAAATAGAGTAAATAGAGGCAATTTGCTCAATCTAGACGGACTTATTGAAGAGCAGCAGCACGTAAATGGTGTTTGCAAAGTTTCAAGTCTCAAATACTTTCAATGTGAATCTTGCTTGGTTTTTTTTGAATTTGCTGAACTTACAGGCGATTAAATCAACAAAGAAAAAATATTTTTTTTGGAAGATACTGAAAAAAATTGGGAGGAACCACTTTTCGGATAGGAGGCATTGATTTGAGGAGGCAAATGCATTATTTGATTTATCATATTTTTTCAACGCTAAAAAAACTAGAACACCTTTATTGATACTACCAGATGTCCTACAGTACCATCGCCGCCGGCCGCCGCCGTTAAAAACAGCGGATTAAGCTCGATATTGCGCCATAAACGCAACAGCATAACTTCCTAAAAATCATTTTCAAGCAGAGGGAGACACATATTCGGAATCAGCGTCCTTCGCTCTATCTATCAGGTTGTCCCACAAGTTCCGTCCATTTTGAATTTCAACCGCAGTAAATCACATACTTCCTAGTTGTAAATAGTCTTCAAAGTACCATTCGATAGAGTAAAGCAAGCCCTACGAGAGGGCATTATTGCCTTTGCAACAGTTTTGATTCAGCTCGAAATTGAAGCGAGAAATCAAAAAGATTCAACCGCCTGAAAAATCAAGAAAAAGTCCGTCGAAAAAAATCTTAGAAAATTTCTAACTTGCTCACGCATACACTTACCACATAAGTCATTTATATGTACCATTTCTGTGTTTTTTACTCACCTAGAAAACAGTTCTTGCAGAGCTTGCTTTACTCTATTGAATGGTACTTTGAAGACTATTTGCAACTAGGAAGTATGTGATTTATTGCGGTTGAGAGTCAAAATGGACGGAACTTATGGGACAACCTGATAATACCATATTTTGGTTTTCGAAAACACAATTTTCTCATTTTTCCGATGAAGTCACGGTAAACGTTCACGGTTCTGGGGTTTTTGGCTTAGAAATCGCTGTATAGCTCGCGGTCAGTGAGATTTTCTGGTGCAAATTATGCTTACTGTGGAAGGACCTTTCTCTTTGATTTTCATGAGGTTCTAAAGGTCTAGAAGTTTTTTATTTTTAATAAAAAAAATTTCTAGCTGAGCGAAAAGTTCAGATTTTGAAGATACGTAACTCGAAAAATCTGTATTCATGGGCAAATCATTTGATACTGTCAAATAAAGCAACAGATCTTCTAAAAGGCTTACTTGGAATCACCCACTTGTGCTGTTTTTCCTGCAATATATATGAGCCCAAATCACGTTGCTCATGCTCTGAATTCGATGTGAGTCTACCTTCAAAAGACCACATCTCAAGAATGGGCATGGTTACATGCCAGCATTTTTGTACAATGATAGCGTAGGCTTTGTTAATTAAGTATTTGCATGCGTATTTTCAACAAAACAAATGTATCTAATTTGGTGGGCAATTTTTGTGAGCAAGCAACAGATCCGTAGGATTTGTTTGAACGAAGATATGAATTTTTCGCGATTTTTTGAATTTCAGTACGACTCAAATTTTGGGTGCAAACATAGGGTGGGTCGAAGCTGGTGCCTTTTGCATACCATCTTGTAGAGTTTGCTTTGCTCTATCGAATGGTACCTCTCTCGGATGTAAAGGATATTCGTCGACGACTGCCCCAACTAGTGCAATTACACCACCGTGGGCGTGCCTTTTCTTTGGAGCCCTTCCAGCTTGACAGTAAGACAGGACAGGACAGGGAAAGGACAGAGATGCTGCGAGCTACCAGTTCCCCTCGAGCTGCAGCGTATTGAGCTGGAAACGCCCCCAATAAAGCATGCCCAAGGTGGTGTAATTGCACGAGTCTGGGCAGTCGTCGACGAATATCCTTTATATGCATTAAGTTTCGAGAAATAGCAGATATCGTCTGAAAATGTCTCAGAACTTTCGAGCCAACCTAATAAAAATTATTGGAAATCCAACAATGCATAGTAAGGATTGAAACCAAATTATATTGAGCAGTGCTTTGCGTAGAGGATTAATATAGGATGATCAATCTTACCTACATGCACCTAGGCCAATCTGCTTTTTTCTATTGTAGCTCAACAGCCGGTAGCGTTATTTTTCCGGTAATCAAATTAATGGCAAATATTTTCGTACGCTTGGTGGCCCAATGTTGACTTTGCCCAGCGCTTCCATTGTTTCCATGCATAGGAACGGAACGAAAATGCATCTGGTTGATGACAGTCATTGGGCACTAAACACCTCTTCATCAGCTTTCCCACCCCCTTGCCCCGGTATCTGGTCGGCCGCCCATTCACAATGCGCCCATACGATATTTGTTGATCTCATGAAATGCAGCACATAAAGTGCAACTGAATGAATTTGCGAGATGAGGGGAGGGCAGGAGAGAAGTGGATGTCGTGCAGGGCTTTTTTCTTGCCCTCGAGCTTGTTCTTTTCGCAATCGCTAGATTGGGCGACCGAGAAGGTGAAAAAAAAAACAATGAAAAAGTGCTTACGAACAACAAGGGCATTATTTTGCCATCTGTTGTTTTTAACCCCAAAGTGCGCAAAAACGACCACTTGGAAAGACTAAAGAAGACCTTCCCCGATCAGGAGCGGTACTTATCAATCTTCCGCACATCCTCCCATACCTGTTCGGGGATCTGAGTGAGACCACTGTCAAGTCCGATTTGTGGGTCCTCAAGCAGAGGAAAGACAAGATATGATAAATGAAATGAAATGTATACTATTAGTCGCGCCTTTAAACGCTGATTCCAAATCTGCTTCCTTTTTTCTGCGAACAACTTTCTGAAAGAAGCTATGATCATTTAGCTCAAATTTTTCAAACCAGTGGCGTAAAATCGTCGTGTACAAAAGCACCTGTGCTGATTTTTACTGACTGTGATCCTTCCTTGTAGTCAGTATAGGTGATACAAAATTGATTACTCATTGCAGGCGTTTTTGGACAGGTTTTCGCCTTTTTTATGCCACTCAAGACTCAACAATTTTAGACTTCCGAAAACTTATGACTTTTTCCGGAAAGTTACTGCGTAGAAAAATAAAGCAAACTTGAATTAGCGTTTGAAGGCGCGTCTGATGACATGCATTCCCTTCGGGCCAGATCAATTGCTAATTCCTAATTAGAGTGCATTTAAAGGGTTTTTAGGCTTGGAATTTCAATTTTTGGGTTTTGATACGTCTTTTCAGACGAACGCCTCCTTGTTGAGGATTCAAAAACACAGTCTTAAAGGCCGTGTCTTGGCAGATTTGCTTCCTGGGGGACCGACGCGCGCAACCCCAGTAGGCGCGTGCTCGAACGGCCTCACACCTGTTCGGCGCAGGACCCCATGACAGCTCCCGCATTGTGCATGCCATTCAAAGCAAAAGCTACAGGCGACAGGATTTTCCAGAGTCTCCCAACTTTCCGTAGAAACTCTCGTGTGACTTTCCTTCTGGAAAGTGGCTAAACGCTCCAAAAACGGTCTTTCCACCTTCAGACTCAAATTCGGATTCTGCGTGTCGAAAAGCCCTGAAGTATGCAGAAATGTGGAAGTGCGATTTGCTGGGGCACTGTCTTCAAGGAATTTGGTGTGACGTACCAAGATATGATTATACAGGGTCTTGATCTTTTTGGATTCGCAAAGGTCCTAAAACTCAAAGACGCGGCCTGCAAGATCGTTTGTTCGAGTGGGCTTACGATTTGATATAACTAACACATCTGATTAACATTTGAGCGCTTGAGTGCGGGTAATAATAGCCACAATGAGAACATGAGGTGCAACAATGAGGTTCACAGACGAAAACATCTGATGAACGTAATGCTAGAGTCCTGATTTGAGGGCGTTATATACTGGTGGATGTTCCATTGTATTTGTCATGGCACGTGACCTTATAAGACTCACACCTTTTTAACCGTTTAACTGTGCTGAGGAATCGCTGTCATGATCTCGTATTATAACATTTTTTCCGGCCGATTCGAAAATTTTGAAATCAACGTGGCGTCAAAATTCGCACAAGAAGCTTTACGGCTTGCTAAGCTTGGTCTTCACTAAGATTACAGAAAAAACTTATTCTCCAGCACTTATCAAAGACACTATGACCTGCTTAGTCAACGTGTGGCGCAAAATAGACCAAACCTTGAGATAGCATCAGTGTGTAGTTAGTCAGTTATGGCCAGTGAGAACTGCAGAACAGGGTTTTGATGAAACGACTACTGAACCATCGTTTACTTCACATTCACATTTGCTTTCCAGAGGGTGCAAGCTTCGAAGAGCGATACAGTGGTAAACACAATTATTATCCGCTTTCAATATCGCCATGATTTGCCTTTTTGTGAATGAATCTATTTGAAGATTTGTTGCGTTGTATACATGCAAGCCTACCGTCATTCAACAAAACGGCTCCAAATCTAGTTGATTTAGAACGAGAGAAATTTTCAAAAAAGCCTTTGTCAGCTGAACACTACTATAAACATTGCTTTTTCAGCCACCATTGCATTTCTTGCTCAAAAGCTCTTGAAGTCAATCTGCTTCAATAAACAGCTGGTTTGAGTTTACGAGCTTTTATACATGCCACG